AGCCATGGAGTTCAGAAGCGATGTCTTTCCACTTCCCGAAGGTCCCATGATGACATTGAGCTTGCCAGCCTCAAACATGGCCGTGACCGGGTTCAGGATCGTTTTCGGCTCGAGTTTCTTCCCTAGCGCTGTCCGTTTATCAATTGCAAGGGCAAATCTGTCCAGGCCCAAATCAATCGCGCGAACCTCACCAATCGACCGCGCCGTCATCTTCTCCTTTCCGGCCGACAGGTCCGTATCTGGTATGCGTGCCCTGGCGATGGTCATCTCCTTCTTGATGAAGGTGAGGCCGAACGCCGACAGGCTGTAGAACATGACGACGAAGGCGACCAAAATCACAATCGGCTTCCACACCCAGTCCTGGGGAAAGCCAAGCGAGTCCATGATGTACTCGCCCGTATAGGACACACACTGCGGATCATTTCGGCCACCAGGGTAGGGGCAGTCATAAAAGCTGTCGTGGAACTCGTTGCCGCACAGCGCACCAAAGACGTAGTAAGTATAGGTGAGGTATTTCAGCCATCTCAGCCAGATTGGAATAGTGTTGCTTTGTATGAAGTATCCGCACGCCATGCTCTGGAGTGTATACACTAGGTTTGCAATGAGGGACGCACCAGGGAAGTTTCGACTGGCCGTGACACATGCCATGGCACAAGTGACGGCGATGTACTGGTTTAGTAGGACCACGGAGAAGTAGACGAAGAACTTGCTTGGGTCCCGATCGAAGCCCGCCATGAAGTAGCTGATGACGCTGAAGAGGAACGGTACTGGGATGTCCTCCGTGAAGAGTCTAGCTAGTCTGCGACTGAAAATGAACGGCAGAGCATCGGAACAGCCTTCACTATTCTCACGGTCAAAAGTCGCAATATCGATTGTCAGCCGGTAGACCTCAAAGATGAGGAACAAATAGCCCTCCAGCGCAGAAGTTGTATATAGAAACCCCTCTCTTGACCGAATACCCGCCTGGTTCCGGGGGATGTTGTAGAAGATGTATCCCGTACACAAGCCCATGAGAATCGCTTGCATGATCGAAGCCGCCATACCCATCGGGTCCCGGTATGTCGTCTTGAATGTTCTGTCGGTGAGCACACGCAGCTGTCGCCAAAAGCTGGCATGTCGACTCGCCTCCGCCCGCTTTATCCTCCGGTGCTGTGTCGAAGGAGCCTTTTCGCTTGGGAACTGCCTCGCGCTCTCCTCGGCCCAGTTGGCCCTCAGACGCTCCACTCGCGCGGTGCTCTCCTCCTCAACCTCTGGCGTCCGGTTGTCCACCGCGGCGATGT